ATTTTTCTGTATCTGAGAAAATCCAAAATTAGATTCTTTACACTGAGAAACTAAAAGAAATATATTCACACAATTCCTTGCCAGCCATTATTACGGGTCGTCCTCAACTTACAACCACAATTGAGGCCCGTTGCTAAACGGGGCGGTTGTTAAGTCCATTTTGCTCCATTTTCTGACTTTTCTTGCCACCGTCGTTAAGCGAATCACCACAGCTGTTAAGTTAGTCACAGGGTTGTTAAGTGAATCTGACTTCCCCCTTGACTTTGCTTGTCAGAAGGTCTCAAACACTACAGCCGTCATAAATATGAACCCGTTGCCAAACCTCGGAATTTTGATCACGTGACCCTGGGGACGCGGTAACTGTCGCCGGTGTGAAAAACGGCCCTAAGTAACTTTTTTTCAGTTACCGTTGAAACTTCAAACGGTCGCTAAGTGAGTTCACTTAACCGCCGCCTCGCTTAGCAATGAGGTTGTAAGTCGCGGATTAGACCTACGCGCTCACAGATTCATCCTGCTGGAAGGGATCCCATGGGTCATCTAGTCAACCCTCCCGCTTGGTGCAAGCTTTGAAATCCGTTCACTTGTTTCTTTCTAGGGAAATCTGCATGGAACTTGCCAGCGCATCGCTGAAGCCGTGCTGGGCAAAGACGACGACTGGCAGATTGGCAAGACGAAAATCTTTCTAAAGGTACGGTGGCCGCTTATTTCAAAATCAGACTTTGAGTTTTCAAGAAGCAGAAGAGGAAAATATCCGGGAAAAGAGAGAGGCAGGGGCCGCTGAATAACAGAAAAACTGAGTTCGGAGGGACCTTGGAGGTCTTCTAGTCCAACCCCCTGCTCAGGCAGGAGACCCGGTACCATTTCAGACAAAGGGTTGTCCAGTCTCTTCTTAAAAGCTTCCAGTGGGGGAGAAGTCGTTCAGAATAACAGAATAACTGAGCTGGGAGAGACCCTGGAGGTCATCTAGTCCAACCTCTTGCTCAAACAGGAAGCCCTATACCAGGGATGGCGAACCATTTCAGCACTGAGTGGCCAAACTGGAATGTGCATGTGCCAGAGTGCCGGAGCAAACTGGAAGTCATTTCCGTGTTTGCCATCCTGGTTCTATTCTATTCAAGTCTACTCTACTCTATTCTATTTTCTAATCATATTCTATTCTGTTCCATATTTCTCTTCTCTTCTACTCCATTCTTTTCTATTCTATATTCTATTCCATATTCTATTCTATTCCATATTTATCTTCTCTTCTCTTCTCTTAGATTAGATTAGATTACTTTATTTGTATGCCGCCCTTTTCCCTGAGGGGACTCAGGGCGGCTCACAATTCAAGGGGAGTGAAGGACAAAACAAGTTACAAACATGAAGATAATACATCGTTAAAAAGCGCAACAGCCATACTAT